TATTTAAAATTTCGAATTCTGACTTTTTACCCAACCGATCTTTAATATTTAAAAAAAGTTTGATTAGGTCGGATATAGGAAAAGGGAAATCTTGCTTTTTTTCCAAAAAAAGCGGGGAATGAGGATTTCCTTGATACGGTCCCCAAATAACCAATTTACGCCTTTGAGCGCGCATAGATCCTTTGATTACGGATCGACGAAAATCTGGTTCTTCCAAATAACTTATAAAACCCAAATATTTATTTTTCAATTTTTTATCAATATTAGAATTATCAATATTAGAATTATCAATATTAGAAGTAGAATTATTTAAATTAGACTGTTTCAAAGTTTCTAAAGTTGGTCTCGAACGATTTAAAAAATTTATATATTTATATTTTCTTGTTCGAAGCTGGTGTCCCAGCCCTTGTATTATGCCTTGTTCTTTTCGTCGTTTTTTAAAATTTTGGTGTAACTCGTTTATTAATTTGTATGACCATCGAGGGGGTTTTTTACCGATTTCGTTTATTCCACTAGAGTTTTTTTGACCTCTAAGTTTAGCTATAATTGTGGTCCATAAAAAAATGAACCGATTTTTTAAATCAATTTGGGCTTGGATTTTTTCTAATTTCTGTTCATAGTCTGGAGAATTAGGATCTATTTTATGTTCATATTCTCGAGAATTAGGATAGGGAAGAAGGCTATAATGAATTTTATTTAGTTCATATGTTTTTGCGCAATTTTCTATCGAAATTTGATTTATGATTGAAGATGAAAACAATTTATTGATTCTTCCACGATACATCCCAGTCAAAAAGGGATCATCCATTTTAACTAGGTAATTCTTTTTGTTAACTAGGCAATTCTTTTTTTTTTCAGTCTCAACATTACACAATCTAGTCTTTGTTTCAAGTATGTTTATAGAAAGAAATACTGTCTCTAAAGCCTCAATTCTATTTATAAATTCATTATTTAAGTTGTTATTTTTCTCTTTATTGGTATAAAGCCACTCGGTGTATAGTGCATCAGCGGAGAGTTTTTCTAATGTAGACAACGATATCCTTCTTGCTATCATTTCCCCAAAAGTTGACAAACTGGGAGGGTATGTAAAAGATATTCTTTTTTTTCCATCACTTTGACATGTATAAAAAAAATATTGTGACGTTTCTTTTCTTACAGACAATTTTTTATTTATTTTTCTTATGTATCGTAATGGACGATTCCATCGATTATAATCGAAAAAAAAGGTCAGAATAGGTTTTTCAAACAAAGAAAAGGATTTTTCTTCATCTTTTTTGCCAAGTATTTCTAAATAAAAATCTTCTTGATTCTCATACATATAAGAAAGCGGTGTATTGTTTTGAAGCTTCGCTTGGTTCATTTTCTCGAGGTTGTTCAGTTTCTTACTAATAATGGGTAACGGCATTCTACCTAAATAATACACACAGGTAACAAATAAGAAAATATTAAGGATACCGGCTATAGACATAGAATTTGCCAATTCTGACACAAAGGACTTATTATATCGAATGTACTTACGAAAAGATCGATTTTTGCGTATCCAAACTACTAACAATCCAATTGATTTCATCAATAGAATGTGACCCATTATCCAACCAACAAAACTACTTGTTACAAAAATAATCTTGCTGTTGCATTGAAACATAAAAATGTTGACTAATCTCGCTAACATTGAACTTGGTAAAATGAAATGATTGAATAATTGAAAAATGAGATTATTCAGGAATACACATTGAATGCTGAGATTACGCATTGAATTTCTGTTAGTAGATCCATAATCAAAGAAGTGTTTGTGAGTATTGCAGAAGAAATGAAACAAAAGATACGGTAGAGCTAGGACAGTTATTGTATGAGGTCTACCCAGTGCTAGATGCAGAGGCGCATAATAGATCGATATGAACATTATGAGCTGTCCCGTAATAAAACCAGTTGTTGCTGATACCTTCTCTCGGTTCCTTCTTCTCCTTCTTCCATAATGTGAGCTCGGAGAAGGAAGAGATAGGAGGGCCCTATGGAGAATGTGGTCAGAAATCCATAATAGAGTCCGACCACAACGACCGAATTGAATATCTTCATGCATAAGGATACTAGATTACCTAGTAGAAAAGATTTCAAAATCATCACAAACCTCCCTTTTTCTTTTCTATTGCAATTTATGGATTATTATATGATGATTTTGAAACTTTCCATATATAGAAATAGAAAGAGATAGACTAGAAATGACATCTGTTATGTTAATGACACTAAAAGGATATTAAATGAATGGAATTGGGATATGGATGGAATATAATGAAATAGAGCCACTTTGGGGTTCCCTATGAAATGAGGCATGGAAGGAGCCA